AGTAATAACAATTTAGTCAGCATGGATACTGTTCAAGAGCAAGAATGAGATAGAGTGAGATAGAATGTATAGGATAAAATGAAATAGAAATATGTCACTTAGTACTATAAATGGTTGCCATGGTCATGTGATTGCAACAGCGAATCAGAATGCGTAACACCGGTTGCGCCTCTCTGATAAATCTAGGACTCTACGCTTACGCAGGTTACGCTGCATGTGACGACACCCTTAGGCCGGAATCAGACTACGCATTGAAAATTGAGGTTGAAGATTGAAGATTAAAATTTGACCAGTAAGAACAAAGGAATTTTAGCTCCTATTGTTTTGATTGGTCAAATTTCAATCTTTCAATCTTCAATCTCAATATTCGATGCATAGTCTGATTTCGGCCTTATGCGGGGTCCATGATGTAATAAGACAGGTGAACCAAGTAGAAGAATGCGCAGTAACCAATTTTGTCAGCCAATCAGAAATCTGTCCAAAGTGCAAAAAGCAATATGGCTGCCTTTATGATACGGGACGGGGGCCTGATTAGGTTAGCTCTTACGCCGTAATCGACGTCGTGAATTAGTAAGTGGCTAAGAAATTAATTATTATTAATTAATAATAATATTCCTAAAGAAGTAATAATTTCTTGCCTTGTTCGCACAAGAACATATATACGACTAAGAAAACTAAATAAAGAAATTGTACAGAACAATGGCTGCGTTCAGCAGAACGTTTGTTTTACAACTGTTGGAAGTTTCCTTCGCGCTAATTGGATCATACTTTTAGATCTAGAAGAATGGTCCTATCTCAGCAGACAATCATAAAACGGTTGCAAAACTGTTGAGTCTGCTGAACGCAGCCAATATTGCTAAAAAAGGGAGGAAAAAACTATATCGTTTATGTAATAAAGAAAACAGGTTGAAAAAATATTCTAAATAAAGAAATCTTTTGTTAAATCATGCAATTACATTTATTATAAATCCTGATACATAAAATGACGCTGACAACACTTAAAACTGCTGCAAGTTTTCATTAAATTTTACTAAATATTTACTAAACTTTATTAAATATAGATAAAACTCACTATAATGCCTGCAACAATTCCGCAAAAACCTTTGTTGTAAAAGAGATTGGAGTAAATTTGAACCAGAAACGCGCGCATTAGTAAGATAATGTTTAATAATTTCTTATGAATAATGTTTTTCTATTTCTTATTCGTAATCATTTAATCTTCTATATTACTATTTTACTTATTAATTTATTGATCAATGTATCTATTTATAATTATTTTACTTTTATTATGTATTTTTATTATTTTACGAGGCTTTTATAACAGTATTTTCATATTATATATTTACAAACGTTTTTATTTACATTTTTATCATACACATTTATCAATGTTGTCTTTGAAAATCGCGCTGCATTTTGGATAGTCAATCACAGTTGATTATTCTTCTCATATTCAACTATGATTG